TCTGTTCCCAAAGCTGGGGGGCGCACGGCCCCATCAAGATCATGATTACACAGTCGCGTGGCGAGGACCACGTCGGGCAAGAAGTGGGTATTTTGTTCCCAAGCCATGATATTACGCACACACATGGGGAGGGCCAAATTTCGAGTACCCAAACACCAGGGGAATGCTTCGCGCGCCCCCACCACGATTACGGTTGTACGCAGGGGGCAGTGTATACCCCCGTACGTATACGGGCCGTATGCACTCTCGTACGACCGTACGTACGGGCCCCTAGCCCTGGTACGGGCCGTACGTATGGACTTCCGGCCGTCCGTACGCAGTCTTGGAGGCGGGGTTCGGGAGTGTTTTTGGGGTGGGTGGGTGTCTGGTGTCGGGGGGAGTTGTTCTACAATTTTTTTTTTTTTAAATGAATTTTTTATTATTATTAGGGTGGGGGGAGTGGGGGTTAAATAATATTTTTGGGGGGGTTGGAGGAGCGGGTTCGCCACTGGGGGCCATAGGTGGAGGTATTTCAGCCGTGAAAAAAAAAAAAAAAAAGATTGGGGGTTGGGGAGGCGCTCGTTTGGAGAAGTTTTTTTTAGGTGTAGTCATTCGCAGTGCCAGGGTCGTTTTCGGGGGCTGAGAAGGGTTTGGCGAGGGAAAGGTCTGGGCGGGGTGGGTGGCGTATGGGGGGGGGTCCGGTCTTGGGCTATGCAAAAGTCGTCTTTGGGGGTTGGGGAGGGTTGTCTGGGGGTTGCTGACAACTGCATGAGAGGCGAATGAAACACACGACGAAACAAGTTGACGACTGCATTAAGTTCATATTTCAAATAAGGACAATTTTAAAAAGTATCACGTAACATTCATTGCAGAAATTTCGAAACTGGAACATGACGGGCCAACGAAAACAAGGCGAAATAGTTGCACCATAAACACACCACAATAAAAAAAACATAGAGAGTGAACTCGGTCAAATAATATATGAAGAAAATGCGCAATCGTCTGAAACATCGATAGAAAAATAAAACGAAAAAGAAAACAAAAACAGTAAAAACTGCACCTACTGCACCTATGTTTGAAGAAAGTGTGCAATCGTATGAAACATCAATAGAAAAAAAAAAACGAAAACAAACAAAAATTGCACCTACTGCACCTAAGTATGAAGACAATGTGCAATCTCATGAAACATCGATGCAAATACACATCCAGTCATGACGAGCTGCACATATTGCACCTATAAACACATGACCTCATCAGAAGTACTAAAGGTACTATACACTACTAGGAAATAGAGGACAGGAGTCATTGGGGAGTGGACCAATGGTGAGACTAAGCATCATCGTCGTCCACAATGTCCTTCCTCCTCCTCTGCGGCGCCACACTAGTGGTACCATCCCCACCACTTGTGCCACCTACCGGCCCGTGCACCGTGTCCGAAGCATGAGTCCCTCCCTGTGCTGCCTCCTCGACCTCGCCCCGTGCTCGAAGAAGGTCGTATACGGAAACCCTCTTCCGCTGGTCAATAGGCATCTCCAAATCGTCCATACCCGACTCCCAGTCGACGAGTGTTTGTGACGATCGCTCCGGAGTCAATGCCCTCACATCCAACCCCAATATACGTCCGATCATGCTCATGTCGGGGGCGCGACTGTGCTCGTCGTGCTCCTCCGTAGCGGTAGTGGAAGTCCGCCCTCTAGGACGTGGCACCGCCGCCTCAGCAGGTACACTCATTGGCTGCTCCGTCCCCCGGGTAGAGGTCCTCTCCCTCCAACCTACTGCATCCGCGACAACGTCCCCGCCCAATGCCTCCCGAGTCTGCGGATGTAAACCGGCCAACCCAGGCCGACTCGCTAGCATCTCGTGGGTCACCCTCCTCACAGTACTAAGACCCTTTCTTGCTCTCATCTTCTTCTTTCGTGACTTAGGAGAAGGAGACTCCCCTGCAGGTGTCGATGTGCGACTAGGTGTCGGGCCTGGACCCTCGGCATGTGTGGGCAGAATGAAATCTGTGGTAGATGATGGCACTGACGGGCTGCACGACACATAAGCGGGGCCCTTTGCCATGACCCTCCTGGATGCCTCATCCATCTGTCCGCGTCGATCTGCCCACAATGGGTCCTCCCGTGCCTGCCACTCTAACTCCTCTGCGACAAAGCTCCATCGAATGGCAATACATAAACATCATGAACTGGCGATGAAGGTCTTTTGCCTGCATCCCCACCGACCTCACCGCCACACTCAACCTCTGCATCCTCCGCCGTACAATGGTCCGCACCATCACCCGTCTCGAGCATCTGCTCTTCACGTGCACTCGCCGCAATATTTTGTGTCATCTCGCAACGCCTGGCCAACTCCAGCGCCCTTTCCCTCTCCTCGCCGTCGGTCCTCTCCTGGTCCGACTCTGGCACTTGCTCATGCGCAGGTCGACAACCCCCATCATCCCCTAATACATGCTCATGCTGCCCCAACGAACCTTGTGTCTCCTCTGCTACCTCCCGCAACATGCTGCTACTGATGTCACCCACGCTGCATGAAGGCAAACCTCTAAGGATCTGACTGATGGGCGTAGCCTGTGCTTCCGCACCACGACTACCACGCTCGCCTGTCGGCGTTGGAGGAAGCCCTAGCGAAGCACCAAAGATATCTCGCTGAAACTAGCATTGAACTATGCAGATGCCCTCCCAACCTCTGCAGCCACACCATCAACCTCTGTCGACCCGATTGCAGTCTCTGCCGACGCTGCAACAACCTCTGCAGACGCGGCAGCAACCTCTGCAGACCCCCCTGCAACCTCCGTCGATAAGGCAACAACCTTTGCAGACCCGGTTGCAACCTCAGCAAACTGAGCAGGGGAGGTTGCGACCTCTGCCGATGCGACAACAATCTATGCTGTCGCGGCTCCCTCATCAGTCCAGTGTACAGTGTGAGTGGACGATGCGGACTCTCATCTCCCCCTTCCTCCAGCAGCACCACCTGCACCACCTATGTGCTCTGCACCCCCAACACCCGGCCCGCTGCCTCCCCTGCCTGCACCACTGCATCGGTCACCACAATGTCTCTTGGACCTCCGTAAACCACCTGCAGGTTGTGTACCGTCGCCGTCGTCGTCGTCGTCGTCGTCATCACCATGTCGGCGTGTTGGGGAATAGCTGGGATCATCATCGTCCTCACTGTTGCACTCATACCCCCTCCCGACACCATAGTCCTCGTCGTCTCCCTCCTCAGCCTGTCTCTTATACACATCTAGATGTGTATAAGAGACAGGCCTGCACCACTGCATCGGTCACCACAATGTCTCTTGGACCTCCGTAAACCACCTGCAGGTTGTGTACCGTCGCCGTCGTCGTCGTCGTCGTCGTCATCACCATGTCGGCGTGTTGGGGAATAGCTGGGATCATCATCGTCCTCACTGTTGCACTCATACCCCCTCCCGACACCATAGTCCTCGTCGTCTCCCTCCTCAGCATCTCCCCGACTGCCGTGCTCGTCATGTCCACGACAATCTATCGGAGGGTGTGAAATCGTGCCCTCAATCCGATCCTCGGGGCCTTGCAGTGGAACGTCACGAGCACTCGAAGGTCGAGGTGGAAGGGGGGGCTGCACAATGCCTGTACTGGAAGCACGCGTCCGAGGACGCATCATCTCCGTGAGAGGAGCGTCGTCGCGGTCCTCATCAGAACCTCCTGGCTCTAAGTCCACCACCAGGTCATCTAGATCGGACCACGGCTCCGCCTCCATCTGGTCCTGAGCCATAGGATCAGGCTCGGGATCATAGACGGAGTCTAACTCAGTCGGCATGAGCACCGTGGCGCCACGACCGAAATACGTCTCCACGCTCAAAAGGCGATCCCTCTGCCTGCGCCGCACCTGCCGCTCACGCTACGCCTCTGTGACTCGGTCAGCTGGCCGAACACCCTCGTCACGAGGCGAAGGAATAACGTCCTTTGTCTCCTCATCATCCTCCCATGGCAGAATGTACCCCGAACCCCTCCCCTGACAAAGACTCAATCTCAAGTTGGTGGATATCTCCACCAATCGAGTAAGCTTGATGAAACCAAGCGTGTTACGCCTCTTTACCTGGACACGCTCATGGACGCCCCAGTTCCTCTCCGCAGGAGAGGCGTACGTCCATGTGTGTGTCAGGCGAATGGCGTAACTCTAAAGGAGAGGGACCCCGTCCTCGTGCTGCACCCACCACTGTCCGACCTGCGACGTCTCTTTCCCCCCTCTGCAGGAGGCCGCGTCCTTGTCACCGTCAACCCCTCCGTACGTCTAATCGCCCTCCCGACTATGGAACTCCGCCAGCTGTGTGCGCAACGTCTGATACAAATCCTCATCATTGCCAGTGTGTTGGCGAAGGTATTGCAGTGTCTCCTCGACCAGTGCCTTGTCGTGCTCACTCCGCCTCGCCGCTCCGAAAAACGTGATGCTCCTGTGGCGCGGGTTGAGGAGGTGGGTCATGCAATGTGGCAGTTCCAACATATGATCCACCCGTGCCTGACAAGCCTGAACGACGATGTGGAGCTCCTCCTTCGACGTCCAATTCAGTCTTGCTCTTGCCACCCTGTCAACCATGGTAAAGGCCCACGACCACATGAGAGCCATGACGCGTCCCCCTCTGTCCAGACGACGTAGCAACTGCATTACAGGCGTCATCAGCTCCATGATGTCCTCCCACGTGCTCCCAAAATGGCATGTAACACACCTGATGACGCACCCACTTAGCCTACAAGAGAATGGACCTCCTCCATGGAGTCCGCAACCAATCGTCGATCATCATCAACGCCTCCAGCGCTCTACGACGATCCAACAACCTCTCCAACATCAAATAGTGCGCGGAAAACCTCGTCTGCGTAGGGTACACAATCTCTCTGCCTCGCTGCTGAGTCTGGGGTGGTGCAGCGATGGAACTCGCAGCAACTGCGGAGGCGGAAGATGGGTGGGCAGCAGAGTACCGTCGATAAAGGCTGAGAGTCGCCCCGTGTCCTCTGATGAAACGCACGACCGCTCGAGCCCTGATGATGGTGTAGTATGGGTACTAATCCCTCTTTTCGATCTTCCCGTTGTTGTCGTCCTTCACGATGTCTGGCAACAACAAGTTTCAAACATGGACCGCACAAGGAAGCCAAGTGATGTGGCTGTACTTTACCTCCTTCTTCGCGAGGAGCTTGGAAGCAGCCACATACGCCGACGTGGAGTCAGTGCAAATGGCGTTGACATTTTCGACACCGAACTTGTCGAACACGTCCTTCCATCGCTCCACCATGGCCTCGACCGTTTCCCTAACAGCACCGTCGCGCTGCACAGTCCTGAAAAGGTAGGCTCCCGTGGATCCAACAGCAAGGAAGTTAACTATCTACTCACTTGTGATGGATTTGCCACCATTCGTAAGGATAGTCGCTCCCGTCGCCGCAATGTCCTTGTGGATGGCCGTCACCAACTCTGCCACAACTCGCTGCTGCTCAAGGATGTCGTCGCCCGAAATCTCATGGTGCATGGGCAACGCATGATGTGTGTACGGCGGACACTCAAGCAAGTGCTTCCTCATTCTGTGGTACTCTGGCCTCCTCACCGCCTCAAATGGAATGCCGCTCACGTAGTACCACTGTAGGAAATAGTTGGAAAAATCTCGTTCCAAGACCGGATTGAAGGCCTTGACCATGGAAATCTGTCGAAAGACTTTGCTCTTCTTCGTCACAGGGGGTGTTGCGGGAGTCCCCGTGACAGTAGTTTTTGCCTTCCTCTTTCACTTCTTCGATCCCCTTGCCTCCATCATCGCTCTGGCTGCCCCCTCTTGGCCTCGACGGCCACCGACCATCAGCCCCCCATCAAGAGAGGCTCCAATGTCCGCGTCGCCATCGTCGTCGTCGTCGTCGTCGTCGTCGTCGTCCTCGACAGAAGTGTTGTCCTCGTCGGCGGCCTTCTCCCCCCTCATCTTGCCCCTGGCTCGCTCCAACTCTCTCCGCACGTCCATGGTCGGCATATCGTTGTCATCATCATCCGCTCAACCCTCGACCTCCCTCCTCTTGACCTCGCTGTCCTCCTCCTCCCCCGCCTGCTTCGTCCCCGAAGTACATCTGTTGTCTCGATACCCACGAGACTTCAAGAAGTCGAGGATCTTCCGGCAATGGCTCTCATCGAACGTATGGTTCGTCTTGTTCCAAATTTCTGCCAGGTTCTCCACAGAGACTTTGGGGCAATTGTTCTTTACCATGAAGTGCACAACGGCCTTCGTTTGACTACTTTGAAACCCCTGGCCACACAATTTGCACTCCATGAGGAAATTCCTATTGGAGCTCGGCAGCGTTTGGCCTTTCGTGATCCATTTGAACCCGCAGAACTTCAACTCCGCCGCCCTTTGTTTGTCCTTACTGACAGGGACAAACGGTTGGTCTCCGCTTCCTTTCCTGAGCCCCATTGCAGACAGAGCATAGAGTCAAAAACAGGCAATAGCGCCCCCC